ACAATTAAGTCTGACTTGGCATACTCCACGTAAGCTAATTATATAAGTTGTCATTGCCACATCATTAAAAAGTGCCATTCTGGAATATTTAACTGCCATGTGTCACTTAATTGACAGAAGGATTAAAATTGTGCAGTTTTTAGAGTTAAGGAATCAAAAAAGTGCAAAAATTTGTTGAGGGACCAAAAATGTGCATTTCATAAAGTTAAGGGACTAAATTTAGCATTTAACCTAATATTTAACGTGGTTGCTCACATAAAGGTTAGAATAACTGAAAAGGGCAGAAGGTGCAATTCAACCCTTCTACTTTCAATGTTGTGGCATGTCAACCCCTCTACTTCAAATTAGTGCAAATTACCCCCTCTATTATATGAAATCTGCGAAGTGACCCTTTTAATAAAGATGATGTCATTTTTTAGTTCAATTGTTCATTGTCCCATTAAAATGGGATGATTAAGCAATGACTAGGTAATGACTTGGACAAAATATGCAACTTGGGTTTGCTCACATGGCAAAGGAATGTCTTGACAAAAAATCCCTTACAAGAACACATTAAATTGGGGATCTAGGGATTCTACGAATAACTTAATAACAACTTTTTTTCTCATTCTTAATTCCTTTTGGCTTTACATGATGGTTCCCATTTCAACCTGAAATGGTCAATACCAACACTAGATTCATATCTTCTAACTGCTTGATAGTTCCCATTTTTACCAAAAATGGACTTGAATGACCTAAAATTGGAACTTATGGTGGTCATAGTCATGGTAAGCACACCAGATCAAGGCCTTAGCAACAAAACTTATGAAACTAGTGAACCTAGATCAAGTTCTTAGAAATCTAGGTTGTTAACCTCACAACTGAGTGACTCCCTCAACTAATTAGCAAGCCCATCGCACCCTAAGTCCAAAACAGGTTTCTTAGAATGCCACATTTTGCTAGGGTTTCAACTTGGTTGCTTCAATGGCAACCGAGGCTAAATTGTTGATTCCTCTCTCTAGTGAGGTCTTTTCAATTGCTTCTTCAATGATTTAGAACATGCCTCTATCTTTCTCCTTTGACCTACCCAAACCACAAGTAAGTACATTGCTATACTTTCACCATATACATGTGTGTGTAGATGCGACTTGTTTTGTGGCATTTGCATTTATGAGTTATGGAATTCTTAGGTGAAGAAACTGAACTTGAATGCGCTTTGGCTTTCAAATTGAAATTTAGAAATTGGGTTGTACAACTGGAGTCATGGTTGTACAACTTGTGCTCCCACCATGGCGGAGCCACGACCACCATTACCATAATGGAGTGCCAAACTGGATTTGGAATGTGAAGGAGGCTAAAGAATTTGAAAAAAAAAAAAAAAAGAGGAAGGAAAATGAGAGAGAATGGAAGAAGAAGAAAGTTATTATTAATTTAGGCGTAGAGAATTGGTGAGAGGTGGGGGGAGAATAGAGAGGAAGAAAGACGAAGGATGAGGAGACGAGAAGCTGAATGTGGCCTTTGATTTTTTTGTTTTTATATTTAAATATATTAGATTAAAAAAATGCCAAGATGATTTTTCCAAGTGATGTGGTATTTTTTGTCCAAATCAACACCCTAACCTCATGCCCAGTCATCATTTGTTAACCAATAGCACAGATACAAATGGAAATATGACATTTTTTGACATCATTGTTAGCAAAAAGGCTAATTTGTGGAGTTTGAGTACTAGAGGGATTGATTTGCACTATTCTTAAGTAGAGCGCTAACATGCGGCAACAAGTTAAGTAAAGGGGCTGAATTGCACTTTTTCCCCTTGGAAAAAACCAGACATTAAAGATCTTGAAATGTCATTTTATCAATGGACCACGATCTTTTTTCTTATCAATCATTTATCTTTTCAATTTATTTTCTCCATTTTCCTTTTCATTTGTGCTTTATTTATATTTTTTTCGTTCTTTTTTCTTTTGTTTTTTTAATACAAACACAATAACACTCACTCTCTCGTCTTGGTTGTCACTTTTTTAAAATTTTTTGTTCTGTAGATTAATAATTTTAAAATAATTTATATATTTATTTATATTATTCTTATAAAAGAGATAAAAATGAAAAGAAAATTTTTAAAGGATAACAATAAAGTTTTAAAGTAAGAAAAAATTTCTATCTTCATTATAAAATAAAAAAAATTAATTTTAGACAAATCTTTTTTAAAAGATAATAGTTATTTTGAGATATAGATTAACATAAACATATTTTTAAAACTTCATGGTATTATATGCATTTATAAAAAACTGAACGAGAGTATAATGCAATTTACCTTTAAGAAAGCCTAATTAGATTTAACATAATTTGACTTTTTGTTCTCACAGCAAGCTTACCTCCACGAGAAGAGCAAAAAACAATTTCCTATCACGGGAGTGTATGACAATTAATTTGGCAGCAATCTTATTAAATACAAATTTTTTAACTTTAACTTTAGTTGAAACTCCCAAATTTTCTTAAGATTATCTTAATATTTTGTAGAGTTTATTCCACTCTTTTTAGCTCAGTTACATCTTAGATTTTAGACTTTGCTAATGAGATATATTTATAATATGATAGACATAAGATTGAAGTATTTGATTGCCAATTAATAATATTAATAATTTAGTGATAATATTTTTCAAGTGAAAATAAAAGATTTTGAATTTAAATTATATAATATACGAATGAGATAAGACATAAAAAATTTTTACTTTTTATTTTATAACCTGAATTAAAAAAAAAAAAGTATTTGGTCACCAATAGAAGTCTAAACCTATGCATTTTTGGTTTACTTGCAGTTGACACACATTAAAGTGTTAACAGTGCTACATCTAGAGGTGAAACTTTCTCTTGTTGATAAAACATTATTTTATGAATTTTCTAACCCTAAAGGGGAGTGATACACCATTAATTAGATGGAAAGAGATTAAATTACAATACGTGTAAATCAATTTATGACATCGTAACCCTTAAACCAAGCAATAAAAAATTGTGACTGATATTGCATTTACTTTAAAAATTTTCTACTTACAACTCCTAACTGGCAACCAATTGCTAGTATCAACACTTCTCTTTATGGTGTTGGCTCTTTCACTTAGCTTTCAAATTCACAAAATTCAAAGCATAAAATCCAACAATAATAAGACAATAACAAAGGAGACAACATAACGAAGTAAACTTGAAAAAATACAATCTCATGTAATTTAATGCTTTGGAAGATAGCAAAAGAAAACCAAATAAATATAAAAGACATAATATAATAGAACATAAAGGCACTGTGTTATGTTGGGCTAAAATTATAATTTTTTTTATTTTTTTATTTTAAAAATATATAAAATATTAATTAAAATTACTAAAAGTATATAAAAAATTAATTAAGAATTAAAAATTTATATTTTTCAATAAATTGCTATGCAATGTGAGAAGCAGAGAAAGATGAAAGGTATGGATTTTTTCTTTTCAATCCCAATACTAAACTTTTTTCCTGTGGCCTGTTCAATAAGATGAAATTTTCTTGTAGGGTACTTAACGTTTTTTTTTTTACAACTTTAGTCTATATATCTTTATTTTTAATTTTTTGAGACTTAAGGGCTATGCCCAACCCCCTCCTCATGTAATTTCGCCACTAATGCTCTATGAAAAAGGTTTGTGCGAAGCAATCATAAAGGTGGCTAAAGTCTTTATAATTTCCCAAAGCATAAAAAAAAAAAAAATTAACAATAAATAAAAGAGAAAAATTACCAAAAATAAATTTAGTTTCTTTTTACTTCTTTTGTCTCAAAATAACTTTTATGTTTTTTTTGTAAACTTTTTTTTTTCACAAATTAAGGTTTTATTTGACCACAATTCCTATAGACATTTTTGACACAATACTTTATTTAAAAAAATAAATATTATTTTAATTAATTTACATATTTTTTTTTATAATTTTAATGAATAATTTATATATTTTAAAAATAATAAAAGACAAAAAACCCAATGGTTGTAACATAATACAATGCTAACAAGCGAAGCCTAAGAATTAATTTATAGACAATTTATATATTTATCTATATTTTCTTATAAAAGAGATAAAGATAGAAAAGTAAATTTTAGTAATTGGGTGGATAATTAAAGAAGGGATAACAATAGTGTTAACATAGGAAAAATATTTGTCACCTTTTAAAATCTTTTTAAGAAAACTATTAATTTATGACAAATTTTGTATAAAAAGTAATAGTTATTTTGGAATAAAAAGTATACATGAAATAAAATGAATCTAAAGATAAATCTTTTTTAATACTCTCTTTGTTTGACTCAACTTTTCAAGAGATAATCTTTAATTTAGAGTGTTTAAATTTAGCTTTGTGTAGTATGATTTTGGTTTTAAGTTTTCAGTTTTTATATATTTAATAATTATTAGTTAACGACTTAAATTATTTAGTAATAATTTCCTCCCATTAAAAATAAAAAGTCATGAATTTAAATTGCACTATATGTGAGTGAAGTAATTATTTAGGTTGTTGGCTAAATAATTATATTAAAAGACATGATATTAACTATTAAGGTATGATAATAAACCTATTCTTATTTGATACCATGCAAGACATGCTAACATTTACATGAATTTTTATTGCCATTTAAAAAATCATAACCGTGCTTATATGGTAGTATCATCATGAATAAGATTGATCCAATCTATTACTATTATTATTACATTAATCCTTAAATTTAGTAACATTTAAACATTATTGCATTCTGTTAAATTCCTAATCCCAAAATGAATCTAAACTGTCTTTATATTTTACGAAAGAAAAAAAGAAAACCTTTTTATTAAAAAACCTAACGCGTGATGGTAGCTACGTGGCATCCACGTAAGCTGACGTGGACCAATCAAGAGAAAAAGAAGAAAAAGAGAACCCACCTGTCTGCCTGCATGCGTTGGGGTTTTTGAGTTTTCTACGTTTCAGTCTACTGTTCTTCCTTTCTTTCTCTCTCTCTCTCCATGTGATTGAATCCTTAAAAAACCCTAATTTTATTACAGCTTTCGATTCTTTATGTAAAAAAAAAATTTCCCAATTTTCTCTGCGATAATCCCATCATAATCCCCACCCACTGTCACTTCTCTCTTACTCCCTTCACCAACCTTCTCTCTCCCTTTGTTTTGGGTTTATCGTTTTGTTTTGAATCTTCGTAATTTGATTAATTGCTCAGGATCATTCGGAATCAGCTGGGTTTTTGTAATTGGGGTTTGTTTTGGGAGTTGAATTGTGGGTTTGGAGCGGGCATTGTGATTGATTGTGCTGGTTTTTGTGTTTTGGAAATTTGGAATTGATGTGTGTAATTTGGGAGAATTTGAAGGTTTGGAAGCGCGATTGAATTGGGGAATTTCGCGATCTTTGGTGTTAGAGCTGGGATCCAGATGATCTGCTTATTAGGATAACAATTTAACGGTTTGGATCCAATAAGGGGAGAAACAGCGCCATCAGATGGCGCTGTTCAGACGATTCTTTTACCGGAAGCCGCCCGATCGGCTGCTCGAGATCTCCGAGCGTGTCTACGGTGCTTTTTCTCCTCCTACTTCTCTTGTTCTGCATCTTCTTGGGATAAACTTTCTTAATTTTGCTTTTTTCTTTTTTTCCTGGGGAATCTTTTTTCAATTTAGCTTTAGAATGTGGGAAGTTTTCAATTCTATTCATTGGAGAATGCAAATGGGGGGAACGAGTGCTTCAATCTCTTTACTTGTTGCTGGTGATTCGGGTTATGCGAGCTTTGAATTTGAAATTTGGTATACAATTGAGGACAATGCATTACGTAATTTATGGAATTTGGGGGTTTTGTCATTCAATTTTGAAGCGGCTTTGTTTGAATTTGGGTTGTCTTATTCAAGTTGAAAGGATATTAAGAAGTTGGATTTGTGCTTGTTTGATTGTTCCTTAGGGTTCATGTACATCGGGAGATGAGCTGAGCAGAGCTCTAAATTTGTCTGAAAGTAGAATCACGAATTGGTTACTTTAGAACAATTTTTTGGGTGGGTTAAAATAAATCATAGATTAGAAACTGGGATGCAATTTTTTCCCCTTAACTTTAAAAATTATGTACTATTGTTGTTGAAGATTAACAACGGTTTGTTTTCTTTAATTATCTCTATTTTGCCGAATTGATTGGTTCTTGATCATTGTTACTGGTTGCTCTGTTGAACCTTTTTCGTTTTTCTTTCAGTTTTTGACTGTTGCTTCTCCACTGATGTGTTGGAAGAAGATGAATACAAGGTGTACCTGGGTGGCATTGTGGCACAGCTGCAAGATCACTTTCCTGAAGCTTCTTTCATGGTGTTTAATTTTAGAGAAGGTGAGAGGCGGAGCCAAATTTTTGACATATTATCAAATTATGACATGACGGTTATGGAGTATCCCCGGCAATATGAACAGTGTCCCCTGCTGCCACTGGAGATGATCTACCATTTTCTTCGATCAAGTGAAAGTTGGCTATCACTGGAAGGGCAGCAAAATGTGCTCTTGATGCACTGTGAAAGGGGAGGTTGGCCTGTGCTTGCATTCATGCTTGCAGGTCTTCTCTTGTACCGAAAACAGTACAATGGTGAGCAGAAGACCCTTGAAATGGTCTACAAGCAAGCTCCAAAAGAGCTTCTCCAGCTCTTGTCTCCTTTGAATCCACAGCCTTCCCAGTTGAGGTTTCTTCAGTACATCTCTAGGAGAAATTTGGGTACTGGTTGGCCTCCATCAGATACTCCTTTACTTTTGGATTGTCTGATATTAAGAGTTCTTCCACTCTTTGATGGGGGAAAAGGCTGCCGGCCAGTAATTCGTATATATGGCCAGGACCCTATTAATCCAACTAATAGAACTTCTAAGCTTCTCTTTTCAACTTCAAAGACAAAAAAACATATTCGCCATTACCTACAGGTGGGTCAGACAATTGAAACTGAAAGTTGACTGCTTGTATTTTACATGTTCTAATAAGAATTCGTTTGCAGGACGAGTGTGCGTCGGTGACAATAGACATTCACTGCCGCGTTCAAGGGGATATTGTGCTTGAGTGCATTCATCTGGATGAAGACCTGGAAGCTGAGGAAATGATGTTTAGGGTAGTGTTTCATACGGCATTTGTGCAGAGAAATATTTTGATGCTCAACCGTGATGATATTGATGTATCGTGGGATGCCAAGGATCAATTTCCAAAGGATTTTAGAGCTGAGGTAGGTTACTTTTATTTTTCTATAAATGTCCTTTTGTGAAGCTATAGGAGTTGAATACATACTCATATCTGTGTCAGGTACTCTTTATGGATGCTTCTGCTGTCCCTAATATCACCACAGTCCCGGCCAGTGAAGATGAAAATGAGACAGACAGTGTTTCTCCTGAGGAATTTTTTGAGGTGGAAGAGATCTTTGGCAATGCAGTTGAGGCCCAGGAAGGAAAAGTGGATGATTATATTCATATTGTTCACAAAAGCAGAACTGATGGTGCAGAGCATAAAGATGTCTTCAGAGAGGCAGTGGACCCTCACACATTTCAAGATTGTGCATCGGATGATGGGAATTACAAACATGATGTCGAGATGGATTCTAATATAGATGCCGTTAAGGACATTGCTGTGGATGATGTGAAGTACAAGTTAGATGAAATGGCGGATTCTGATCATGCTGTGAAAGACATAGCTATAGATAATGGGGATATCAGGTCTGCAATTGCTGACATGCCGAGAGATACAGAAACCAAGGAGGTAATGGAGGATATGGGTGACAATTTGAAAGAGATTGATGATAAAGATAATATAGAAGACACAATTCTACAGAAGAATCTAGAATCAAAGGTCTCATTTCAAAAGTCAAATTCTGCTGAAGCCTTTAGACCTAAATCAGATAAAGCATCAGTGCCGCCTAGCCCCAAGAAACAGCCTACTCTGATTAAGAAACCATCTTCAGATAGTGCTTTGGTCAAACAGAAGACCAAGCAGCAAGAACCTCAAGGTACTGCTGCAAGGCTAGCAAAGCCAAATGCAGTATCTCGGTGGATCCCTCCTAACAAAGGCTCTTATACCAATTCAATGCATGTCTATTATCCACCAGCAAGATATAACAGTGCACCACCAGCAATTGCCACTAATGCTTCTCTCAAAGCATCTAATTCAGGTGCAAATTTAAATTCATTTTCTGGTGCTGTGGTGTCAAAGGATGTTCCATCTGAGCCAAAAATTCAAAAGGGCGAGCCTTTGAAGCTTGCAGAGTCTGTAAAAGGCATGCCTTCTTCAATTCTTTCACCAATCACTCCTGATACTCAGCAAACTGTTTCTCCTCCACCCCCACCTCCACCACCTCCTCCTCCTCTGGCTAAGTCTTCTTTACCATTTCCTCAAGCATTACTGAAGAAGACAATGACAACTTCCCCTCCCCCCCCCCCCCCCCCACCACCTCCTCCTCCTTTTGCGCCAGCTAGTGGACAGAATATTGGCATGGTCTTGCATACTGCACCACCACCTCCACCACCACCACCACCTCCACCCCCTTTATCTAGTAAGCAAACCATTTGGTTGGCATTGCCTCCAACTCCACCTCCACCACCTTGGAATTCTGATTATTCTTTAGTTGCCCCTACCACTATGGATTCATCTCCGCCGCCACCACCACCACCACCTCCTCCTCCCCCCTTTCATGGTACATCAATTGCACAGAAACTGGTTAGAGTTCCTCTGCCTGCTCCTCCTCCACCTCCTCCACCTCCATCAATGCCAAGTATACCACCTCCTCCCATGCATGGTGCAGCACCCTCTCCACCTGTTCCTAGGCAAGTCCCACCTCCCAAGCAAGGAGTACCATCTCCACCACCACCACCACCACCACCACCACGAAGCTATGGAGCCCCAATTCCATTACCATCACAACCACAACCTCCAAGGCAAGGTGCTCCACCTCCACCTCCACCTCCACCTCCACCTCCACCTTTTTCTCATGCAGCTCCACCTCCACCACCACCACCACTGCCTCCACCTCTTTCACGCGGAGCTTCACCTCCACCTCCACCTCCACCTCCACCTCCACCTCCACCACCTCCTCCAGGGCGTGGAGCTCCGCGCCCTCCACCTCCTCCTATAGGTCGAGCACCACCACCACCTCCTCCTATTGGTGGTGGGCCTCC